GTTCTTTTTCTCATTCTTTAATTGTATTAACCAATCTATGTACTTGTTCAACTGTGGAATGTTCCCGTCGAAATCCAAACTGATGATTGTAAAACAATGACAAATTTAATGAAACATTTTATTCTGAATTTCGTGACCATGTGCTTTCAATATACCAAATGAAACATGAAATATTCGGACCAACTGTGACATGATTTCTGGCTGGTAAAAAACAAACTTTACATGTCAAAAATGGCAGATTGGCAGAACTAAATTATTTCTAAAACACAAATAACACAAAACATTTACTTACGTACACATGTCGACACATTTACATTCACACTGACGAAAGATTGACACGGACGGAACTTAAAAAAAAATGACTCTTAGTACTTTGTCTGACCGAGCGAAATTTCACGACACGGTTTTTCCCGGTGTAGGACTTATTAATTCTTGTTTTTCGAGCTTGCGTTTTTGATCCAATTGAAAATACTGTCACGACAATCTACGATTCCCTACAAACTGACATTTGCTATCGATTTGATGCATGTACGAATTTTCATCACGAATTCAAACAATCAATCCGGCATCTCAACTGTCTCGACTTAAACCTAATGAAACACACCCCCAATTGCAGTTCGGCGAAATTTTGACAATGGCGATCATTTGATGCACGTACAATTTTCACCCCAATGCGAATTTCAGAGCTACGAATTTAATACATTAATAAAATTGCCCCACACCGGTGACAGGGCGACCTATGCTGTTGATGGCGCGACTACGAGTGAGGAGTGCACACGGCCCAATTCGAGTCCTTCGCTGTCGTATCCCTCCGTGTTACGTCATGGTTGGATGACTTGTCCATTGCCTTGGCGCGCATTTTAAACCTTTTGATTTAAAATCGGCACACTATACTATCATATATGTACAAAGTATTGTTCTTATCGACATTTTCGAGTTTGAATTTTGAGTGGATATATTCCTTTCGGTCCCCTGAACCCAAAAACGTGATTTTCAAAATGATGTGTGCATGCCTGTGTGTGTGTGTGTGTGTGTGTGTGTGTGTGTGTGTGTGTGTGTGTGTGTGTGTGTGTATGTGTGTGTGGGTGGGTGTGTGTGGGTGGATGTGTATACAGGGTGATCAACTCAAGGAGGCCACCATTGGGATATCGGAAACGGTAAGAATTAGAGAAAACTTTAAATGGGGGACATTCCTTTATTTTTTGTGGCAGTTAAAAATATGATTTTATTTATTTGAAATTCAGCCGACATTTTCCAAAATTGCGGCCAACTTTGAAATTTTTTATGGAACACCCTATATTTTATCATGTTTTCAGATAGAACAGGCAATTTAAAAACTTTTTTATTCTTGAAATTTTTTCGATAAACCCACTCGTTTAGGAGTTACAGCCTATGGAAAAATGACTTCCGGTGTACATTTTACATCATGTAGCTCCTAAACAAGTAGGTTTATAGCGAAAATTCGAAAAGTAAATAAGTCAAATAAGTCTTAAAATTGCATCCACATTCCAAAAAGACCATAAAATTCGTTAAAACTATTAATTCTATTATTTTAAAAATGGCGGCCATTTTCCAAAATGGCGGCAAACTTGAAAAGTGGAAAACTGTGTATTTTATGGTCTTTATGGAATGTGGATGCAATTTTAAGACTTATTTGACTTATTTACTTTTCGAATTTTCGCTATAAACCTACTTGTTTAGGAGCTACATGATGTAAAATGTACACCGGAAGTCATTTTTCCATAGGCTGTAACTCCTAAACGAGTGGGTTTATCGAAAAAATTTCAAGAATAAAAAAGTTTTTAAATTGCCTGTTCTATCTGAAAACATGATAAAATATAGGGTGTTCCATAAAAAATTTCGAAGTTGGCCGCCATTTTGGAAAATGTCGGCTGAATTTCAAAAAAATAAAATCATATTTTTAACTGCCACAAAAAATAAAGGGATGTCCCCCATTTAAAGTTTTCTCTAATTCTTACCGTTTCCGATATCCCAATGGTGGCCTCCTTGAGTTGATCACCCTGTATAGCTACAAGCATACATCTGTGGTCCGATCTTGACAAAATTTTGTATGAGGGTATTTATGCATAGCATCTCCAGGCGTTTTTAAATTTTGATTTAATGGTGGTTGTCCAATGTAAAAATATAATAACAGAAAGATCAGATAAAAAAAAAGTCTTGATCGATTTGTATTACAATTTAGTAAGTTATCTATCTATAATATTATTAAAGTGATACAATCAAATTTTATGTAAACGGTTAAGGCCATTTACCAAATAAAAATATAGGCATATGGCATATCAAAATGAAGCTTAGAGTGTGTAGAATTGCCGAAAAGTATTGATTTGGACGAACTCCTTTTTTAAGGGCTCTGCCCCACAGGCTGATTTCCAAAGTGCTACGCCTTGCAGGTTTTGGAAGTTATTATTCGAATTTAGTGAACAACAGCTGGCCAATGCAGTTGACAATATAGTTTGTTTGTTTACATTTTTGTTTACTTATTTTATTATTTACTTTTATGTTCTTAAAAGAAGTGCGGTGAATAGACAGTGAAGCTATTTCTAGCTGTTTGATAAAGTGAGTGATTAAAGGTGTTCAAAACACGATGAATATGAGATTAAAAAACCATGTATGTTCTTCGTTCCAAGAGGTTGTCACCGATCTTGAACAGGTCGCAATTTCATTGAAAACTATTAAAGACGTCGTGAAAGAGAGCTGCGTGTTCAGGTACAACCTCGGCCAACCTTGGGAAGTAAGGTATGAAGGTTCCACTACTTTTAACATCCTTTCAGATGACAATTTCCCGAACTTGGGCAATTTAAATGAAATATAAAGTCAAAGTTGATTAAATTAATTTAATGGTGGCTTCTGTTCACACGTGAATTCGTGGGTAGAACCTCTTGTACTTATTTAATACGCAAGCAGGTTTTTTGTGACAATTACTCCTCCGAAACTACTGAACCGATTGACATGTTTTTGGTGTCATTGGAAAGAGCGTAACTTGAAGTTGTGCGGGAAACTTTCTTTTTATGGAAATAATTAGAGAGTGAGGCCCTGGGGCCCTTTAAAGTTTCGTATTTATCCATAAGGATAACATGGGAGATAATTTTTATTTACAGAAACATATGTTTGTTTCTTGAAAATAGTCAAAGTCTACTACAAAATAATTGCTGAGTATTATGACTGTTAATGTATATTACATTTCAATCAAGGATTGTGTAGGTACCTTAAAGTTTACTCATAATGGATGTTACTACTTTATTTTAATGCTGGGAATGGTAAAATTCAGTTGAGAATAAGTTACCATGATTTAGAAAACTTTAATATAATAATTTATGTATTTAAAATCACAAATCTTTGACAATATTAATTCATTTGAAACTAAACAGCTGATCAACAAATCAAACAAATCATCTACTTCATGTGAATAATATTGTTACACAAACATAATTTTTGTTAACCAATAACTTGATTCTTTTTTACTTGTGGGTGTATTTTGAGTTTGCAGTTATGATAAGTAACTTTAATGCTACTTTAAGGAGAATATTCATTTTATGCGGGCAATAACGGTGGTAAGAAGATTAAGTAAAGTATTAATGTGTTCTGTTTGTTTAGATAATATATGCTCTCAAAACTTGAGAAACATTTTTTTATAATGCCAGACAGATTGTGAGATTCTGTGGTTTGTGCACTAACATGATGATGACTGGAGTGGTCAACTTCACTACCATTCCGCGCAGTTTGAGCCAATGTTATCCCTTCCTTTAAGATTACATACACATCTAATTTTCTTTATAAACTAACAGTATTAATGAATTACTACATGGACTTGACAATTTATTGTCAGTATACCAAGGGAAAGAAGAGCGGGTCCTCGAAAACAGACGAAGGCGGAGACACCCACCATCTAGAAAATCCAACTGAGTTTTTAAATATAAAATAGAGGTCAGTAGATTGCCAAGACACAGATTAGACTAATAAAAGGGGGCAGTGGTTTTATTGACGAGGAATATTAATACATCAAAAAGGGCCTCATTAATGGGACAAGGCTTCATGTGATCAGAACGGTCAACAACTTAATAGAATGAAAAGTCCTAACTGGAACAAGTGAGTGGGGACATATTTTGATTTCGAGGATAAAAATTTGCCCGTCTGAAACAAACTTACCTTTTAAAATGGAAAGATGCTAATTTCTGTTATCTTTGGCATTTGCAGCACAAGCACTTTAATTAAAGAGCAGCACTGTTCTTACCCAGACCAATTTCAGTGCATGAGCAACTATATTATATGTTGTTTTAAGTAAGGCAACATCTTTTAATAGGATACACATATTCATTACGGAAAATTCTGACCAGGGTAATATTCCTAAAGGTAACTTTATGACTAAAATCGTAGTATTCATAGAAGTGCTTTTGTGAAAAAAATTTTGTTTTGTAGTGTTTATTTTTAAAGTGTTTTCTTCAAGCAGCATTTTATGACCCTCAAAATATGCTACACAGGCCTATTGGTTTGATATGATCAAATTGTTTGTTGAATCTGTTTTTAAAAATCTTTAAAAAATAACTACCCTATAACATACTTGAACTTCAACACTTATTAATTTACTAAATATAATACACATTCAGCTAGAAAATGGCTGGACTGCTTCGCTTTTAAGGCTTTATTATTACCGTACTGTATTTAATTTTCGACGTCGAGTCAATATATAACACGATGAATTTGTTTTCTAAATTCATATGTTATTTTGCGGGGCATTGAGCCGCACAGGTTCACTAGTGGGCCTTTAAACTACAAAATGGTACAATTCCCAATGTTGTAATAGTTATTGCATTTAAAAAGTTATTGCAATTTCTGTGATTCTACCCATAAAATTTAATTGTTAATTCCACCGCTTACCCATTCATTACAGGGGCTTTTAATAAGCTAGTAGGAGAAAGTATGTGTCAGTTTGCTGATAGGTTTATTTTTTACAGGAACTTTAAAGAAATAAACATTGGCAATACATAGTATTTAATATTTTTCCACATTACAATAATAGGATGACACGACTGACTTATTCTAGTAACAATTACCTAGTCTTTATTCTAAATTAATATGCAAGATACTAATTGGATGATCACAAATTGGCTGAGCTCCACTCTTGCTGCCAACGATTGCTTCTAACATCATTCAAATACATCTGGTTCTTGCTGTAAACAGATCAAAACGCCATTAAACATTTATACTATGAATTTTTACTTAAAGGAACAGATAAAATTACAAATGCATCTAAAATCATAATAAAAAATGCTTAGGCTACACACTATACTTTAGTAGAAAAAGTTCAATTTTTAACATGACTGTTATGCCATTGTCGACTCACCACCAGCACTAACACCCCTAGAGGTGGATGCCAGAATATATGCTAACCGCAGAACTGCTGTCGGTCTATTTTTCATTCTTTTGTCTATGACAGAACTAAGTGAAGTAATTATGAACTTTAAATCCAAAATATTTTTTTACACTTGGTTAACATTAATTTGAAGAATAAGTTTTGCTGCACTGTGAATGCATATAAAGACCTGATGGTTGCCAATAGCTTGATTTCATCTATAGACCAATACACTAATGAAGAGATAAGACAAGCTAGGTAGGCTGTCTAGATCCCTTTACGACCATATTTATCTTAGAGGAAACAACCTGAGACCAGAGTCTGTTCTCACAAAACTGAAAATATCTCACACCATTATCCTTGTTTAGTTAATGTACAAACGAGAGAGAGAATGGGTAATCATTAGATTGATTTATTGCAAAAGTTGAGATTGGATGTAAAACTAGTTGACCAAGGCATTAAAAATATAGACTGGATACCATTTTAAAATGTTCAACCTTTTTCGTCTAATGCGGTTTATCAGAGTTTATGTAATACTTTCCATATAAGATAAAGTTAAAATAGTACAGATACAGAATGTAAGGCACAAACATCCTAGGAAAGCTTGGTTGAGTTGGGAAATACTAAACAAAATAAAAATAAGGGATAGGTTATTTAAGCAAATGAAAAGACATCCACAGAATATGTATTTAGCAACAGAGTATACAGTTGAGGAATAATATTAACTTGTGTACCTGTTGCTCGAATTCGAGCAATTGCTAAGTATTAAGAGGCGGTCGGATAGAGCCCCGCGTATCCCATATTTTGCAGGCGTCACGAGCAACAACACAGTCCTCCCAAAACAGACTTTTGTAATAGTACCACCCTTGGCCACCAGTTTCGTGGCTGTCGCATAATGGGATCTGAGATTGTTGACAACCCTGTGTTACCTAGAAACTTAAAAGCATCAACTCGATTACTCTCAGCCTCAGCCAGTGTCCTAGCCCTTGTCTATTGTCCCACCGCATGTTTTACTCAGGGCTAGAGATGTTTCACTTTCACTGGTTTGCTACCTTCGCCCACCCTTTGCGTCTCAGCAGGTCTCAGTTCGTCACCGCACAATATACAAATTTTCCACACAAAAAATGTTTTGGAGATACAAATAGCACTTTCAGTAAGACATTTTGATTTATACACTTAATTTTAATATAAAAATACATGATAATGTATTCAATTATAAATAATATACTAGTGCTACTGGGCTCAATAATGTAACTACTTGGCCTATCCCATACATTTTAGCAAATTTCCCTATAATGAGGTAGCTATTACCGTAAGTGGCATGGTAAGACCTACGCCCAGGACCGATTTACTTTTTAATTTTGATGTCCCCAGAGGCCAAAACACCATTCGTTCAAATTTGTATATATATGTGTGTCTGTGAACACGATAACTTGGGTAATTTTTGTCCGATTTTGATGAAATTTGGTTTGAAGGTGTAAGGCGGGAGGCAGGATAAACTTGAATGAGTTCGCGAACCAGCATGATCGGACCATGGGAACGGGGTTTTATGGGGTAAAAATTGGTTTTAGCGAATTTCCCCTATAGGGAATAAGCTATTACCGTAGTACTCATGGTAAGACCTGGACCCGGGACCGATTTACTTTTTCGTTTTGAGGTCCCTAGGGACCAAAACGAATATTATAGACCTAAAACGGGACATCACAATTCCAAGATAATCCATGAGTCAGAAGCCGGCTTGGCTACGTCGCAGTGCTGGTCCGGAGGGTGGATTTGGTTCCTCGTATATACCACGTATGTCAGAAAATGCTTTTGTTCCACTGGACCTTGTTTTCTTACTGGCAAATAGTTTGTATCAAATCGTGTATTGCAGCAGCTATCTTTATACAGCTAAGTCCGTAATTAACGTACTAAGTATGACCAAAAGAGACGTTTATTCCAACGGAACTTGTTTTATATTGATGAATAGTTTGTATCAAACCGGGTGTTGTAGAACTACTTTTATCTCTGATGACAGTAATATTTTAATACATACGGTAAATACACAGTCCGAAAATATTAGATTCTTAGATTCCTGTGAATTAAATATCATAATTTCCTTGGAATTATAATACATCAGGGATGTAACAACATAACGTTATTTATTTATTTAGCCAGATCTGTGGCCAGTTTAAATGAATTGTATTTGGCGCGGTTTGAAAACGTGCTCTGCAGTCCACAATCGACTGTGCTGCCATCGGCCGGGACATCGTCGAACTAGTACTCAGTCGGCAAGCAAGGCTTTTTTGCAAGCTTTTACAAAAAAATACAAAACTTAATGTTAACCATCGAAAAATAAATATCTGTCACACTCAATACACTAATGAATATATGCTCTTCAATATGGCGATTGAACCAGAATTGTTTATAGTGCCAGTCATTTTATATTTTAGCAGAAAGTGTATTGCAATTCCTTATGGGAAATGTAAGAAATGATTTATTTTATATCCGGCTTATAATTAAACATTATGATTTTTATATTGTACAGTCTTAATCCTACATACATTTACAATGTTTTGAGTGTGGGAAATAATTTTTGGAACACGGATAGACCAGAAAACGGGGAATTATTATATGCGCTCCATGTTAAAGTGACGGCCAGTGTCGACAGCTGAGAATCTCTGTCCGACCGCCTCTTAAAGGCGTTTTTTTTATATGAATGATAGTCAAAATTTATGATGACTTTAAAAGATTCGACTCAAAGATTATGGAAATACTCAAGATGTACATAACAGATCGATTTAATCAACATTTCTTGTAAATATCTGATCATTTTTCAAAAGCTAATCTTGTTTTCTAAGTTTTTTTATACAAATAGACTTAATCATAGCCGCTTTAGGTTGTCCATAAATGACACCTTGATTATAAATAAAAAAAAAAATCATTTCTATTTCTTCACCTTGGTGGTGTTCTGTGACTTTCCTATGTTTCCATAGTTTGCAAATCGGCTCTTTCAATGATTACTAAGAAATACAGCACAGTGTTAATTCAGTTTTCTTTTAGCGAATTTTCCATATAGGGAATAAGCTATTACCGTAGTACTCATGGTAAGACCTGGACGCGGGACTGATTTTTTTTTTCGTTTTGAGGTCCCTAGAGGCCAAAAACACCATCCGTTCAAATTCATATATATATATATATATATATTTATACAGCTTACACAATTGACACTGAAACAAAACTATTTCAGCTACAATTCCTCTTTCTATTTGCAAGAAGATGGTGTGCCAATGGGTTCCCCTCTATCTGGAATAATGGCAGATATATTCATGAAAGAAATGGAAACTACCAAAATAATGAATGATTGTAACCCATATAAAGATAAAATCCAATACTGGTACAGATATGTAGACGATATAATTTGTTTATTCAAAGGAAATGAAAATGAAGCTAATAATCTACTAAAATATATTAATAGCCTATCTCCAAAAATACAATTTACAGGAGAGATTCAAAAAGAACAAATAAATTTTCTAGATATTACAATCTCAAAAAATAACAACAGACATACATTTAACATATTTAGAAAACCTACGACCACAGACATCATTATTCCATACTATTCCAATCATCCTTGGAGTCATAAAATCGCTACTTTCCATTCACTTATCCACAGACTTATTAATATTCCCTTGAATAAAGAAAATTTCAAAAAAGAGAAAAATACCATTAAATACTTAGCAGAGAAAAATGGCTACAGGGCAAAAATGATAGACAATATGATAAAGAAGAAATTGAAAAATAAAATACAAAAGCAAAATAAAACAACGAAAAAATGAAGAGAAAAAGAAATATATATGTATACCTTATAACAAATATATGACTAAAGCAGTAAGAAATACATTAAAAAATTCGGATATAAGGGTAAGTTACAGAACTAAGAACAATATATTCCAACTAATCAATAAAAAAATCAAACACACAGAAGATAATGAAGACGAAAAGTACAAGAAATCAGGAATCCATAAGATAAACTGTAGTGACTGTAGCAATTATTATCATAGATAAATCATACTCCCTTAGTAGATTTGTCATCCTTATGGAACAGCTGAAGCCAATTTTATTGTTTGTTCTGTACGTCCAACTGTAGAGGTTATGTTTTGTTTTCAATTTGTTTCTTGTTATTTCAGTCATTTAAAACCTCATTTAATCATATAAAACGATTTAATCATAAAGAATAACTGGTCCCCTAGTTAAATAACCAAATAGTAAAGCACAAATCATGAAAATAACCCTAAAATAATAGAAACAAAATGTGGTCTACCCCAGCGATCAGTGTGGACGTACATGAACTAGACATGAAAAACAAGCTTCAAAATTTACAATGGGATGAGGAGTCTACTTGTGTTGCTTAGTCTATGTTATTATATAGGTCAAACATCTCGAAGTTTTAAAACAAGATTCAAGGAACATCTACAAGCATTGAAATCAAAAAATCAAACATCAATGAAGTCAAACTTCGCCGACCATATAATGAACACAGACCACAGTTATAAAAACATGAAAGAAAATCTAACAATTTTAGAATATGAAAAAGAACGTGAGAAACTTAAAGTAAAAGAAGAGCTAAATATTTATATACACAACAAAAAGGACTCCAACAACATACTTAACACAATGATTCCAAAATTAAACCAACCTATCTACGATAAAATTGAAAAATTAAGGAAAGAAAGAAAAACATTCATATAGTATAATGAAAAAATTAATACCAAAATGTATTAAGATTTAGTTAAAATATTTTATTATTTTTACATATGATTATATTTTTAATTTTGT